CGCGTTACAAGCATCGAAGTCTCATGTAGAGGCTCGAACCGCGACGGCCAGCCCTGTTTCACTAACGTTGTATCAGGGGGACGTTGCTCGTTGTTCTCTGGGTAAATAATTTTTTGCATTCATGCACATGGTGACTCATGTTGTTGTTTGTTCTTGGCTGTTTCTACCTAACGAACCGAAGCATCCTTGAACGGGACTCGCTACTTGTTCCCTTGAAAATATCGCGCTTTGTCAGTGAGTCCCGTATTGAAACGACTTGGGTTGCCGTCCGACAGGTAATGGTTTAGTTGTGCTGAGGATGCGGCGCGAAGCATGACAGTCATAACGGCCTACACTTGTAGCGCTGACGCACAGAGCAACTGCTAGCCTCAAGGGTAACTTCGTTCATCAAAACTTTCAACTCGGAATAAGAAACTGGTATGAAATGATCAGTCAGTTAACGGAAAAAAACCATACTTGTTGTACAGTTCGGTGAGAATCAGACATTAAAACTATTATTAGTTAATTAGGCGAAGGCACGTATTTCCTTCGTGAGATGAGGAACATTTCTGTGGTGTGTGTAGGGGGGAGGCGCCGAAGAAGAGGCAGTTGTGAGCAAGCATACTAATGAAATCTCTTTGCGGGCGACACATTACTGAACTGTCAGGTATAGCCGTCAGTCTTAGGCGAACCTCAAACGGGCTTCTTATCCGAATAGTCTTCCAAACGTGGACAGTAGTATGAGATTACTGCCAGGATCAGATGAAGAGGTCGAGCTCAGTCAAGAATGGGTAACAAATGACAAGGATTGATCAAGGTTTCAAACAGGGAATGAAGGAGAATGCACGTGTCGACAGCTCTGCCTTTCAATTTTGGAGTAACCGTGATTCATTGGCACTATCAGGATTGGTTTCTATTTCGGTGACATTTTAAATGGGATGTTTCTTTGCGCGATTGACTATTAAACACTCATAAAACTTGTATTAGCCTTAAGGAGCTTGCACACCTAACGCATCTGAACTAATATTTTTATTTCAGCCTAGCTTAAAGTGCATCGTTACTTAAAGTATTAATTATTTGCATCATTTTATGACCACAATACCCTGAATTTGATCGTCTCGGAAAATACATATTAACGTTATTATTGCATCACCACTAATTCACGGTTATAATGGGTGATGTTTTGCGCGCTTCTTCAGAAGCGTGGCGCTTCAATCGAGACGGTGATGTGTAAACTGCGGCGTTATTGATGTGGTTCATGACCACGATATCTGGAACTCGGGGTCCAAGTTACAACTGTAGTGCCAAATGTAAAACGTGCTCGCGGATAACGTTGCTTGAGAAAGGTGCTGATGGATAACGGAGCTCGAAGAACAGGTCTGAACAAGTCAGTTCGTCGCTGGGATATTTGCGCTGATCTGGCCTGTGCCAGGTCTTACATCGAATGATGACTTTTTGATGACCATGGATCGTGAGATCTTTGGATCGGAATTGAGTCTGTTTGTGATATAGCTATCGTCGTGGACTTGTTTTATATCACGTGTTTGTATTTATAATGAAAAATACAGTTGTGGGTCCATTAATAGTTGTCGCATACAATGTAGACTAATCTTTAAACGACTGACTGAGGACCCGCTTGGTTGTTGGTAAACAATAATAAGCATCTCGTACCTACAGCCGATTAACGAAATGTATATTATAAGGGGAAAATATCAGCAGAAGAACATGGCTGCCAAGAAAGAGGTCAACTAAAAATGGAAGTAGCTGAGGTATGCCCGTAAGAAAATAATCAAATCTGGTATCGGTGCAACTCGAACATGAGATTGGGCACTGTTTTCTGCAGTGGCAAGAATAAGTGAGAATTTACGCAGAGTTTGTATGACAAATTTGTTTCATAGCGCACTTTGCTCAGACACTGTAACGAAATACAATTTAGGTTCTACCTCTGACGTATCGTGATAAACCTTTATGCAGATATTAAGTATTTTGGAACTAACATGAATTATCAGATCAGCAACATTATTGGTTTCAAGTGCGGTCGTAAAAACCGTGTTTGGAGTTTTCATTTTCATGGGAAAAAGGCAAGAAACAACTGAATAAATTTATACATGCACCATGTTCAAAAAATTTTTATCCAACAGTGCTAAAAGACAATATGCAGGTTCTTTTGGGCTGTAGTGCAGTTCGCGTGTATCATCCGTTTTATTGATTTCCCTCAAAGGCGTGTGCTGCGCAAAAGCTAATATGCCTGATATGATGATCAGCAGGCCATCATTCACGCTTCATTTGGATGTCGGTGCTACGGCTTCTGTCTCGTAGACGATTCAGAAGCCAAGTGCGCAATCCTCGTAGTAAATAGTTTTCCATGTATGTAGTTAGGGTTGTTGCCGCTCTTCTCATGTGTTGCCCTCTGCTCTATTTCTAAGTTAGTTTCCACGTTGTTCCACGCTTGTTTTCCCTTGCTGATCCTTTATTTTTGCCCCAGGGTATTTTCTGACTATCTGTAGGCCCTCTGTAAGTTATTTCTTGTTTTTCCTGACCTTATTTTTAATTTTCTTCACGCCGATTGTTCATGTTGTAAACAACCGTGCCTTGAGCCATCGATTGGGAAGAGAAAATCATAAGCTGTTCTGATTAAGAGACCTGCTTCGACTTCAGAATTGCGGGGTTCGATTCTGCTCGTGTTTTGTCCGTTGATTGTGTCTTTGCTTTTCCTCGGTCTAATTCTTTTTTACATTCGGACTTTAAACATCCGTAAGGACCTTGTCGTACGTCTGTTTTATTCTTGTTTGCTGCAGCCGTCATTTTGTTGCATGTGTTCTGTGTTTCATGGCAGGCGATTGTTCGTTGTCCGTACGGCGTTTTTAGCCTTTATTCTGTCTCATTTTTGTTTACGTCTGAACTTTAAAGTGAAGTAAGTATTACTACATATTGTGTATTGCTTTTCTTTGCCTCTTTTCTGAAGTTATTTTTGGGTCCCCTGTTGTTAGTCAATTCCTTATGTTAGTTTTTTGTCCTACGTACATTTTTGACGCCCATTATGTTCTCTCCATGGTTGCTGTCCATTGTTGTTTACCGAAGCTGCTGCTCTATCATGCGCAATCCAATCGCTCTGTTTTGCATAGTAAGCAATTTGCCATACCTATGTTGTGTTTCGTGCCGTATTATTATTGTGGATCAGAGTATATTTTTACAAGAGAACCCTAGTCACAGTGCACGAATCTATATTCTTGCAAACATTGTGAAAAAATTTAACGTACACACCTTTATAAATGAAGCCAGGTAATGTTGGTGAAGATAATTTTTCCCTATAACTGTCATGGTAAATTTGAACTTGAGAAAATCCTATATCTCTA